CATGTCTTTTTAACTGTTATGTGGTCCATGGCCACCATCATAACATTGTGACGGCCCCTTGACTCTTTTCACTTTAGTCAAACCTTATACTGATGTGCAATGACTGATGGGTATTATCTACTTCCATGTGCAGTGATTTATCAATGCATAATTGTTTGCATTTACCATAGTTTTCCACCAACTGGATCTGATCTGCAAGTCATTATTGGGTTGTGACTTTGCAGAAGCATATGTGAAGATTTCATCAGATTTTCAGTGACTTTGAACGGATTTTTCACAGTCTGTCATTTCATTTAGGCATTTATTATGATAACAAACCGGTTGTGGCATGCTTCAGATTAATACTACACTTCCCTTCACGCCTCAGTTTGTTAATGCAGCAGCGCAGCACTTAACTTCCACAGATTACTGCGCAATAGCAAAACATATTCATCCTGACGAAAAAGCCCTGTTTGACAACTACTTTGATGGCCTTGCTGTGAAACTGACAGCTGGGGAAAGAAGGCAAGGCGGGACATTATTAGTCAGTGAGGCCATTGTCTGGGCATGTGCTGCAGAGACACTTGAGGTTGAGATTCGAGAACGCGACTGAGAGCTAAAACACTGCTTCTAATTAGCAGTAAAAATCCCGCTGTTGCCTCGGGCCTCGAGAAACTAATTAAGAGAGATTCACACCGATATGTCTTACAAAGCCACAAAATCATTCTTTTTATTTGGACAATGTGTACCTAATGACATAATGAGCTTTGAGCAGAACGCATTTCCTCTATAATCTTTTTTAACCATCACAATGCAGACGATTATTTCCTAACTTTGGCAACCGCTCGGCAGAATATGGAGGAAATTGCAGTAATAACAGCATTGCCCAATGGAAAAGAAAACAAAAACACATCCATCAAGTTTTCCGTCCAGTCGGGATACATTCCAAGGAACAGCAGTCTGGTCTTCCTGCCGTGCTTGGTGTGCGTTTGAAAACCTTTACAAGTGAATGAATCCAGATTCACTGTTCAAATACTTCTGAAATGTTAAACAGTGCAGCTGTGAGTCATACTTCATCTATGGTTAATGTCTCCTAAAGCAGCATCATGCTTTCACTTATAATACTGAGCGTAAGTCCTCCATTTAGCATGAGGTAAACGTGTCTCTTAAAAGTGTAATGCCAAAATCCACTCTGGCGTTGTGAGGAGTGAACTTAGCATTGAATTATGGTGAAGAACAATCCATTGGGTCTCTGTTGCTGTTGACTTCTGAACTAAAAGTGCATGGAAAAACTCCACTGTGTACAAAACATCCATGGCCTAACACCCACATGTACAAATCCATCCGCTGTGTCTGTGAGCACGCCAAGAGGTGTCACTTTGAAAAACGGTGGAAGCACAAAAGAAAAGATATATGTGAGTTTTAAAGTTCTCTGCGTTTTTCATCAGGTGTTTTCTTAACATTGGGCTCCTGCCTTCAGTTTCTTGTCCATGGTTTCTCCTCTTTTGGATCCAGTCCTGCGTCTGGGTTGAGAAATCTAGGGGACACAACAGTCATACTGCATTAGTTTAAAGACTTGTGAGATTCATCCAGTGAAATCTATTTTTTCAGCACACTGGAGGTTTTTTTATTATTAAAGGGGTCATATGATGCGATTTCAAGTTTTCCTTTCTCTTTGGAGTGTTACAAGCTGTTCGTGAATAGATAAGATCCCAAAAGTTGCAAAGACTAAAGTCTCAAACCCAAAGAGATATTCTTTATAAAAGTTAAGACTCTGCCACGCCCCCCTAAAACGCCTCGTTTAAACACGCCCCCACGTCTACGTCACCTATGTGGAAATATTTACATAATGCGCCCAAATGTGCACGCAAAGAAAGAAGGCGTGGTTTCAGTAACCGCAGTTAGTGTTGAAGCAGCCATGTCAGGGAGACGCTGTGTGTTTCTAGGCGAAAGCAAAAGCACTTTATTTGGCCTTCCGAAAGTAGATGCATTAAGATTATTTACAACAGAACAGCAATGCATTTTATGGACGACCGTTTCGTGAACCTAGGAGAGGAGGTAATTCTGACTTTGCTATGACAATATGGCGCTTCTGAATCAGCTACTGTTTTCTTATTAGTTTAAGTATTTGCTATTGACTGTTCAAATGCGGAATTTTGTGCATTATGTGTGTGTGTGTGTGTGCACGCGCGCGCACGCGTGTGTGTGAGAGAGAGAGAGAGAGACAGCGTCACATCACAGTAGAGTCAGCTGTCTTAACCGCAGCTTGTGTACTGCATCATTACTGTGTCTGTCACGCGACTCTGTTCCCCTTTCGGGCTCTGTCTTTACATTTATTTTGAAAGATGAAGCTCGCGATTATGGTAAGGGGCGTTACATTTCCGACGAGTGCTTGCAGTGTTCGGCCAATCACAATGCACTGGGTCAGCTGGCCAATCAGAGCAGACTGCGCTTGTAGGAAGGAGGGACTTTGTAGAAAACGAAGCGTTTGAGAGAGGCGGGGCATAGAGGACCTACAATAATGTACAGTATTTGAAAAATAATGTGTTTTTTGAACATTAAAGCATGTCAACATATTCTGTTACACCAAATACACAAAATAATGATCTTTAAAAAAAGCATCATATGACCCCTTTAAAAAATTTGAATACATTTTACTGACACTTTAAAAACACATGAATGAAAGAATCTAACAACTGGACTATAATAAAAACAAGTCTGACACTGGGTTTCACAGTTTTCACTCAGGAGACTTTTTTTAGCGCCTATGCACATGCACGGGTGCAAATTCACACATACAAACATACAAACTCAGGGACAGCGCATGCCAAGATGTTGGTCTGACAAGTCTGCCTCCTCCCATATCTCATCAAAAATCATCACAGTTGCATCTTCTGCTGTTTTGTTTGTTTTTGAAAAGATTTTTTGCGTTCTGTAATTATCCATTCAAATTCTTCCTTTTCATGCTTCCCAAAAGCTGCTGTGCTGTTTGCTGAGAGAAATCAGGACATTGCCATAATAAGCTGTATATTGTCGAAAAAGCGAAAATTGTCTACTGGCATGAGCATTTTGACTTATTTCTACGGTGCAAACAGTAACATGAAAACAGCTTGGTTTGATGTGTCGTGATGACACAGCCGGTTTAATAGGGTTAACTTTACATTTTTTAAATTAGGAGCACACTAAAACATAGAACCCTGTTATTGGTGCGTTCAAATAACCTTGTTTCTCGTTTAGGGTAATAAAGGTGCAGTAGCAATCCGCTTCCAATTTCACAACTCGGACATCTGTGTGGTGAACTCCCACCTCGCCGCACACACGGAAGAGTTTGAAAGACGCAATCAGGACTTCAAGGACATTTGCCGCAGGATGCAGTTCAGTCAGGATGACCTCACACTACCACCCCTCACCATCATGAAACACAAGTACGAGCTAAACACAACAGCCTGCTAATTTAACTAGAGACAAAAGTCTAATTTTCCCTGTTTAAAGCTTTCATCATCATGGTTCTCTCTTCATTTCCAGTGTTGTGTTGTGGCTGGGAGATCTAAACTACCGAATAAGTGACCTTGAAGTTGATCATGTGAAAGACTTGATAGCTAAAAAGGATTTTGAGAGCTTGTATAATCACGACCAGGTAAGACAGAACACAGCTGCGGTTTGTCTGGAGAGTGTTGAGTTAGATGGCAGTATAAATGACCGTGGATGTTCATGTGTTTCAGCTGAAACGGCAGATGGATGAGGAGGTTGTGTTTGGGGGCTTCACAGAGGGAGAGATTGATTTCCAACCAACATACAAATACGACACTGGCTCAGATCAGTGGGATACAAGGTCAGAAAACACCATCGCACACTATTTCCTCTGACACTTTTTCTATAAAATATATTCTCCACAACATAGTTGTTTTGTTGCCAGTCTGTGAAGTTTGATATAATATGGAAACATACTGCAATGTTCACAGTCATTCCAAAAAGACCATAGGAAACAATAACTGTTAACTTGGGCACATAATTAATTTTGTGCTATGCGTATAAATTAGGGGTGTAACGATTCACTCGTTTTCTCGATGCATCGATTACAAACCCTGACGATGCAATGCATCGATCTTGAAACATGGATTTTTGAATCGTGAATCGTTGATTTCGGACAGTAATCGATTTAAAACGCTAAGAATCGAATGAATCGCGATTTCTATAGCGATTCAATGCTTTCAAAATAT